TAGTAAGCTTCGCTGTAGACAGTTAAAATCTAATGCAGTGGTATTCCTACTGTATGTAGACAAGGATGCCTGTCTGACCTGTATGTATGACCTGCCTGTGTGTCTACCTGATTTGGAATCCCCCACATCGCTGAGACCTGAACGATTTCATGGGTGACCAAAGGAGCCTCTACTTTAGACCTCAAAAGCTGCTGTGACCATATTTCTGTCGCTCTGGGCCATCACCTGCTTGGCCTCTCATGCAAACCGCTTTTGTTCAAGGACTGTTTGGCCAGCTACTTTCATTTTAGGGGCCATATGTTCATAAAGTACAAAATGGGAGTTCATTTATAAAGCACGGTGGCTGTCTGAACATAGCTCTTGCCTCTGTCTTAGGAACTGCAACACCGAGTGACTCGAAATTTGTCAGTTTCAGTCTTGCTCCTCACATGTTGCGGCCACGCTGTTTTTACTCACATGTTATTGCCTGCTTGGGGAAAGGCAGTCTGTACCACTGGCTGCCTTTCGAGAGCTAATAGGCTGGAGAGCTGCAAACGTGACAGGGATGACTCTACTTTCCATTTAGTTTATTTGCAGTTCACTCACACTGTTAAAGTAAGTGGGCAGAGACTTGCAGCTATCTGGTTATTTCTGCAGTGACTGTTTAAAGCTCGGTGTGCAAACCCTTGAACGGTCTTTGCAAACAGCTGTGGGATGCTACTAGTGGCAGACGTTGTTGATTAAGCTACAGTATTGATTTTAATAACAAGGCGTTCTTTAAGCAGTTTCCTCAATATACCTAATAATATTTTATTTTCCTCTGGAACCTGGTACACCCCTGACTTCCAGTTTTACCCAGCATTTCAAATAATTGGAAAATTTCAAAGACAGAGATTTAGATGCTTTGTTTTAACATCAAGAGGCTTTTTAAAATTATTTTTCTGCCTTTTTCTTCCCAGAATGACTGAGCTGTTTTGCACCTGGATATTTAATCCTCTTTTTTTCCCTTTTTACAATCATGGAGGCATTTCATTAAAATTAATTAATTGAAATAGCATCCCCACTTTAGGCTTGCATGAACTGTGCTGGTTGTGTTGGTTTAAATCCATTTGAAATGATAGCAGTTTGTTTTTTTCTTCACTCATGAGGTCCTTCAAGTGTGTGCTTTCAGAATTTCCTGTCATTAGATGCAGGCCCACAGTAATCTCTCCCTGCAAAGATGCTCTTAATAACCTGAAAGAGGAAACAGCAGATAATGGCATCATGCCCAGCAGAGAGAGTGGTATCTCAGGTCTCCTTTGTCAGCAGTGTTGCAGTAATAAATCTGTGTAATAGAAGATTCTTTATGTCATTCTGATAACAGGAAACTAAGACAGATTCTCCATGTTACTTAAATAAACAGGTGAAGATGGGCCAAATTAAATTACTTCCAAGAAACCTTTCAAACACACTGGCTGTGGCTTTTCTGGCCATCTCCTTCTCCCGTCTGGACGCCGATGGAATGTAGGACACTGTGATTGTGCAGCCATGTGCCAGCAGACGCATTGCAGTGACACATCCTCAATAGCAATTAAAAAAAAAATCTATTTTACTTTTTCATAGCACAACCGATCCAGCAAATCTGTAAAATGCCATTAAATGGCGTAGTGTTTTACCTATGTTATATTGTAGCAAAGTGATTCTTTGACCAAACCAAAGAGAAGCACTTTTGTTATGAATGTAGTCGATAATCCAATCCAATCTCTTATATGGCTTCATGCAAACTTGAATTAAACACTGTCTGTCTTGTGGGATTTGAGCGATAAGAAGTGATTCTTTACCACAGATCTAAAAAGAAATCTAATTTTTATTTTGCAGAGGGCGGTACAGATGAAACACCCATATTGAAAACAGACTGGGGTAATCACAATTATAATCATAAAGAGAGAAGGCATCCCTTTAATCACAGCACGCTGGCACAGTTCAGGATAGCTGCATATTTCACACAGCGTGTTTTGCATAGAGTAGTGATCTGAATACTGATGGTTGAAAGTCAGGGCTCAACTGAAAAAGAAAATACCTGTTTGGAAGGTCTCTCTGATTCTGTTACAGTCATTTAGAGTTCTAAAAATAGGTTAGGTGACCAAGCACTGCAAGAAAGTGACTGCATAAATGGGAAAATAAGCCCAATTCAGTAATACCCATTGATACCAGCAAAGCAGATATAGAGGCCCAGGCAACACATTACAAGACATTACATAACAGGATCATGTTCACATACAGCTGGTGCTAAAGGTTTACATAGTATAGCACCAACTACTGCTCCGTTGCCACCTTCCCAGTTCTGACCAGACTTCAAGGTTACCACCTTGACCACCCTGTTGTCAGCTTTAAAAAAGGGCAATTCCAAGCAAGCAGGTGGACGTCCCTAGAACCCTTTCTGTTTCACACTAGGTGAAGTTAAAAGACAGCACTACTACTCCACTGTAGAGTAAGTCAGCTGAGCACTGCAATCCGAACCAGGTGCAGTCTGTACTGTCTAATGCAGCTTCCTTCTCAAACCCCATTACTCATAATGAGAGGTCAAAGTTTACCTCTGAACCCACTTAAGCATAATTCATTTTACCACGTTCCTTTTTGAGATGAAGAGGGCGGGTTTCACTTTATTAATGAAAACTCTATCCACCTCTAATTGATTCCATATTCTTTGCTTTTGCCTCGCGTTAAAAGCAATAATGGCATTTGCATATCTAAATGAGGGTAGTGCACTTTCATTTTGCTGCATCCTTTCAGTGCACTCGTATAGCCACAGGCTTTTATCAAACTGAGAAAGTTAACTTTCTGGAAGCATTTTTGCCCTGCAGGCCTATTAAAACGCCTGCAATTTTCTTCAGCAGGAAAAAAAATAATCACGAGAACAGTAAAAGGATTGTTCAAAGCCTGTTTTAAAACCTTTAGGAAGACAATCCTTCAAGCAGCTGGGCAGGTAATCAGTGAAAAATCGCAATTTTATCTCAATCTCCGTAATGTATTTTGAAAAATTAGTCCAAAATGTTATACCTTGTCCTTATTTCTCAAATTATACATGGTCCTTACTGTTCAGTAACAAGACCCTCTTCCAAACTCCTGGATGACTGTGAGACAGTTTTCGAGGAAGCAGTTTTTTTTCCTTATTAATATTGTAGGGCAGCTGAGTTTCAGATGAGATTAGCAACTGTGCACTATGAGCTTGATTGCCTTACAATGCAGGTGTGGACCAATGTGACATTTTGTTGCTTTTTTAAGCAAATACTGATTTGCTAAAACAGATAACAGATGGATTCTTAAGAATTTGATTGGGTTAGGTTAGGTCAGGTTAACTTCACTGTTACTGTATATTGTTAATCCATGTTACAGAGTGACTGGGCCACTACTAGTGAAATCATCGATCCAGCCTCCTTAGAAATGTTGTTATTTGCATTCAAAATAACAAAGTGTTTAAATGACAAAAGAGCTATAAGCCTTTTCAAACACCTTTCTCTGGTCATGAAGTCTTTTAGGAATTTCAGAAATGACTCTTTGATTTTTTTTCCTGTTCTGCACATATTTTATGTTCTTTTGAGATGTTTTGAATGATAATGTGGAACCCAAGACACCTCAAGGGCTCGTATCTTGAATGCTAAATGCAGAAATTGAACAGGAAGGCAGTGCTAATATAAAATCAACTGTTGTTGTTTTTTTAAAGAAGAGGCTATTAGATTAGTCCCTTAGGAACTTGTGCTGTGGAAAACAAGGTTACTAGAGAATTTACATTCACAGAAATCCATATGTTAGTCAACATTAGAGTGCTCTGCCTGTAGCTTTTTATGAGGAACTCTGCCATGCCCATGCCACTGAACTTAATACAGTGCCCTTAGGTGGACAAATACCTAGAAAATGTCTTTTTGAAAGGAACCCTTACCCTTACATCACTGTATTCATTTATTTACCCCTCCCCCCAAGATATCTCCAACAAACTGCAGTGTTAAACAGCACACTGGTGCTCCCAAAGAGGAGCACAGAAACCTGGAGAAATGGTTGTGTATTTTCTAAACAAAAGACACTGTCGCCAACACAGATCATGACACAAACATGTTACAGTCCATACTGGACCCTAACGTCATATGTTTTAGATGCTCTGGGGTTTCGGTAGTTGCACGGCAGCTTATTCAATTAAATTTGTTTCGATGGATACCATGAAGAGGATTTTGGTAGTAATGGAGTCTGAAAATTGTACTGGCAGTCTAATAAATACTTTAAGGAATAGTTATTTGTAAATACCTCTCATTTTTTCCTGTATTCAACATAGTCTTTTCTTGGACCAAAACTGCAGTTGTATGTTTTTCCTGCAGTAGTATGAGTGTAAGGAGTAGGAGTGTAGTATAAGTCACTAAATGTCACCAAGGGCCATACTGAACTGTGCATTGTGGGATTAGTAGTCTTCTGTGTGACAGTTCACATCTACAGATCAAAGTGCAAAACTGTAATTTATGGAGGGTCAGATTTTATTGATATGTGTATGCTACAAATGTAAACTGGACAAACGTGTGTTTCACTCAGAAATCTAGAGATTGATTTTAGAACAAAGATGAGAGACAGGAAGACTACAGCAAGGAAATTAATTTCCTGATATGCACATTGTCTGGCAACAAATTCATGTTCATTGATATTCTGTGATATTTCCTTTTTGCTCTCCTTCTAACCCCAGTATCTGCAGTGCCATATTGGAGGGATATCAGAAGTGTAGATCTGTTGCTCTGCTTCCCTGACCCACTCGTCCACTTGTGATTTCACTAGTGCACTCATCACGCAACACACCGGGCTGCTTTGAGCAGGGAAGAAGATACAAAACCACAAAAACTGCACTATTAAGAGCTTTCCTATCAAGTGTCCACTTCTAAAATCATTAATATATGGAGCCAAAGCTCCTCCCTTCACTGATACTGAGACCCTGTTACTATCCACAGCTCCTGTTACTACCTAACTGACCTCTGACCCCTAACCCCCCTTTTATCTTTTGGCAGAATGATCCCCTCCACCAGCGAAGACTTCCTGGTGAAGGACCTGGTGTCGGGGCGGAAGTACGACCTGTGTGTCCTAGCAATTTATGATGATGGGATCACAACGCTGACAGCCACACGTGTGGTGGGCTGCCTGCAGTTCACCACGGAACCAGAGTATAGCCAGTGCCAGTCCATGCACACGCAGTTCCTGGGCGGCACCATGATCATCATCATAGGGGGCATCATCGTGGCCTCGGTGCTGGTCTTCATCATCATCCTCATGATCCGCTACAAGGTCTACAGCAACCACGGGGAGCCCAGCAAGGCCAAGGTCAGCAACGTCTGCTCCCAGACCAACGGTGGCCAGGCCGCTCAAGTCACCCGGTCTGCTTCCAAAGGGACGGAAAGCCAGGAGGAGCAGCCCCTTGCCTGCGCGGCCGGAGCAGGTGGTGGCAGCAGTGGGATTGTGAGCGTGAGCAGTGGAAGCATTGGCGTGGGTGGAGCTGCCACCGGCATCAGAGACTCCAATACCACGGCCTTGGTCGTGGACTGCGAGAAGGTGCCGCAGATCTCCGAGATGACCGCCGAGGACATTTTGTCGCCGGCGCAGAGACGGAAATCCAGGACTAGTGTAGAACTCATGAGGCAGACCTCACTGTCGTCTAAGGAAGCAAGGAGTGGAGAAGCACTGGGAGGTGAGCAGCTGTGCTAGTCAAATGCGACAAGGCTTGCCGATAATACACAGTGTACTGCCGAAAAAAAGTGCCATGTTGGCTCACCTTCAACAATAATTACAGCTACAACATGTCTTCGCATCAACCTCAGTCGTCCTTCACAGATGTCCTCTAGCGGTTCACCTATTCCGTACTTACACTAGCTTCTTGTGCCCTGCAGTGCACTTTCTATTGTTTTCCTGAAGACACCCACTAGCCAGGTGCATCAGTATGTCTCTCATGGTGTTTGCTATACTTATACTGCCCTCCTTTATCATAGCATAGCACACTGGGGAAAAGGACTGGTGTCATGATATTTCTGTCCTATCAGAAATGATGTCACTGTGTGTATCCTGTTCACTCAAACCAGGGTATTCAAGGAAAAATATACTTAAAATGTTCTAAGTTTAGACAAGTTCATTCTTGATAATATCTCAAAGGGGAAATCTCTGAAAAACTGATGAATGTAATGATGATGTAAAAATACTACCCTCTAAATGTTCCTTTCTGGTTCTCCTTCGGAGACTGTCAGAAAGACAAAAACAAAACAATGCTGGGAACTGGAAGGTTTGAACTGAGTGGTTTTGGAAGAGTGCATCAAATCAGTTACAAGTGCAGTAGTGCCTTCCTCTTTGTGAAACAAAGAGCTGTAAGTTAGGACTCCCTGAAAGAGAAGGTGTCATGCTTCCCTGCGAAATGGAATGCTCGCTCTAACACAAACAAAGCAGAGCTTGATCTATGACAGCTAAGACATATTTTCCAAGCTGCCTACTGTACGCTGAAAAAAATGATTGCTGTCTCTTTAACCAAACATTTTCTGAAGGCTGAATAAAAAATGATTTCTTAATTATGTTGCAGAAAAGATTCTTTGTATAAGTATATACATATATACTGCCTGAGTATATATACTGTATTAAGTTGTTTTCCCTGTCAGCTAAACACTATTGTTTTATCTGCTGAGCCATATTCGATGGTAGGGTCTTCTGGTGCAGTCACTGGAATTTGTGAACAATTTATACAATTATAATCATAAAGAGATCCAAACTACTATCCGAAGACACAACTGTATCAAAGAGAGAACAGTATAGAGAGAAAAGAGAGAAAAGCATAAACAATGTCTAGACAAATAAATATAGAAAGATAGAAGCCACTCTTAAATTGAAAATCAAGATCAATGTTGTAGGTGCAGTTGGTACTTCAGGCCTTTCAGCCTGAGTTACCTTGGTGTGAAATTACTCAGTTATGTCTTAATTCTCCCATTCTCCTGTAATATCAGCCCAGCAAGTTTAAAAGAACGTCACTCTTTTTTCTTTACCTCGCTCATCTCCTACACCTCAGCTGCCGAGCACACATACAGTAACTCCTTCTGTTTTCAGAAAGGCCATTAAGAAGGAGCCTGTGCCAGCAGCTATATAATACCCTTCCATTTCCAGACAGTGTGTGGGGCTGCAATTTTCTCAGGCCTGCGTAGTGTAAAAGATCCCCTTAACTACATCATCCATGGCAAAGACATGGAGAATGTAGATCATTTTATTTTAACCTCCATGAAACAAATTATGAATCTGTGGTCTCTGGTGATATGTCTGCAGCAATCACTGCAGTTCTGCAGAGAGTGAAAAGTGGAGCTTACAGCTTGTGGGGAGATTCTTGCTTTGCACTACAGGGCCTTCAGAGCTGCAGGCAGAATGTCATTGCACTGCACTATGGGTTTGTCACAGTAGCATCAAAACCATGACAAGGGACACACATGTGGCCTGCTGGTGTTCTCCAGTGTGTAGCCCAGGACATGGGGACCCCAGCTGTTATAAACTGGTTTCTCAGCCTGCGTTCATCTCTCTCTTGCAGACACACAGACGCCTCAGCTCACGGACGAGAGGAAGACTACACGGGACTGGAGTGATTTTAAAATTTGATGACTCCCTCCTCAGCTCCAAGGGAAACAGCCATCACTCTGAAGAGTAATTGCTCCCGTTTTCCTCCGTTTCAGTTCTAGACACCCGCTTTTGTAAAGAGACCCCAAGATAAAACTGCAGTAAAAATAGACGGGTGAACATCTGTTCTAACTCTCCTGGGCTCTGTACATCAGCACACAGGTTCAGTTCTCGAAGCACAGCACTGCACTGTACCGACAGCAATAAATAATACACAACTCAGCTGTATGTCGAACCGTCCACCTTTTGCCCTTTGAAGGTAAAAGCCTTATGACTCACTTCCACATCTTACTGACAAACGAACAAGAAAACAGTACCGCCTTATAAATAAAAAGTACTCCCCCAGGCTGAGCCACATACAGAGAGCTAAACATGCAAACACATGCCAGTCTGTTTATCAGAGAGAGAAAAAAAACAGCACGTTGGGAAAAGACAAAGGGAGTGAATACTAGTATGAAACATACCGCCTGCTGGGATAATCGACTGTTGAAGAAACTTGGGAGGGGTATCCTCATGACATACAGCTTCCGAAGCAGAGCGTACACATCCCACAGCGACCCTCTCAGAATGGGTCCTGATGAGGAGAGGGGTGGTCAGTACAGCCCCCGTGCTCTTCCACGCAGAGACCCACACCAGCATGTCTTTGATCGTGTCTAAACAGGGGTTTTAAAAGGAAAGCAGGAGGCTTTTCTAAAGCTTTCACCAGCGCAACATAATTAAGAACTCCACTCTGTCCTCTGTTGTCCTTTTCTTTTCCAGAACATTCCAAGCCGTGCTCTACCACTGGAATCGGCGAGGCAATTAGTCGGGGATTATTGTCTCCACCAGGACTCTCTTTCTTTCATTTTTCTACCCCACACTACATCCGGGAGTTTCCTGCCTCCCCCGGGACTGAACTGAGGACATGACAAACAATTGCTGTTGCAGTGAACGCTCCTTACCCCCTGCTCATCGCTGGCTTTTAAGCTCTTACTGCCTTTTCTACTGCTCCTTCTGGGTCAGACTGTGTGTGTGCCCTCTCCAGCCCCACCTCACCCCCCTCACCCCCGAACCGCCTGGCTGCCCCGCCACTGGAAGGGGATTCTGCAGCAGGTAAGAGGGGAGGGGCAAGGCTGTGGGGCACAGGGGATCTCTCACAAACCCAGCACCCATACTCACGACCTCCACAAGCCATGCTGGAGAGAGAGAGAGAGAGAGAGAGAGAGAGAGAGAGAGAGAGGGGTCACAGTGTACTTCAAATATGGAGTCCTCCTCGCCCTTGTTTAAGAAGTTATTTGTTGTTTTTTTCCTTGCTGTTTGATATGTCAAGAGACATTACGCTCAATGACATTAAGCTTTGGTGGCAATGCTTGTGCTCATAAAGCCTGGAAATGCATTTAGGAAAGGGAGAGGGGCAGAGACAGAGACACACACCCAGAGAAACACAGGGGGCCTAGTAGGTCTCTATGAAATTCTTCACATTTTTCCCTTCTGAAAGATTACCGTGGTAAATCTGTGTGTTGTTAAAGGCAGAGCAGTGCTATTTTCCAGAGAGCCTCTGGTGGCCGTAATCCAAGAATGCCAAAACAGTTTGTACAACAAGGTGATTACAAGGTGATTGGGCCCGCGATTATAGAAAAGAGCGGCATTTTGCTTGATATGCAAGGCTATTAGACATCATTGCTCATGCCGTCTGCTTTGAAACAGAGCCACAGAGCCATGAATAATGGATAATTACGGCTATTGCTTGTCTCAAATATAATTTATGCCACTAACTGGCTTTACCCACTTCAAACACATAAAGACTCAGCAGTGCTAAGAGGACTGGTGCAAGTTGGCCAAGTGTTTCTGCTACAGACAGATGAAAAGCTCCCTAAGCATTAGCCTTGGAAATAAAATCTGATTGTACTGTCTACCCCCTTGAACACACATCGAGGTGGATAGAAACCTCTTTTTACGGCTTTACCGCAGACTGCATCATCATCATCATCATCATCATCATCATTTTTTCCACAAACTCCCGTCTTCAGCTGTCCTCACCCAGTGTGCTCCTGTCTACTTCCTGATTCAGTCTTGCCGTCTTATAGGAGCTGCTCCTCTCGGTAGCCTTCCGGCGTCTTGACTCTTGACTCGATACAGTAAAGCTTCCTCTACTCGTTAATCCACAAGTCATCCCTTGCTCCTGGGTTGGTGTGGTATACTGTACATGGGTTTTGGTGTCAGTTCACAGGAACACAAGTGTACTGGAATGTGTGCAGGCAAGAATGCATATTGGACATCATGCGAGTAGCACCAGCACCACCAAAATATCAAGCAATCTGGGGTGAAGACTGTTCGTGTCTTCTTGTCTTGGGTCTGTAGAATTTGGAAATGTAGGCTACAGTATGTGCTCCTTGTTTAATTTTAAAAACCAAATTCAAATGCTCAGAAAAGGAAAGTGAAGGTGTAGATCAGGATGACTTTTCTCTTTGGAATGGGCTGTCCAAAGTATTGCCTGAAGGGTGGCATTGCTAGATTCTGTTCCTCCTTCAACGGGTCACAACAGCCCCTCAATTCTGTAGGCTCCCGAGAAACCTCGGTTCTACAGAGTCTGAGGGATAAGGTGAGTTAAAACATAACAGCAAAGATGACACAGTGTGTCAAGAAAAAAAAAATTCTCATCCTCTCCAAAGGTCAACTATAAACTCCAGACTTTGTAGTAACAGGGACAGAGATTATATTTCAGAATTATCTTACAAAAAGAGGTAGAAGGATCGTAAGTCTGAACTTTTACTGTAATCACACTGCAAAAAATTTAGTGTGGGAAGTTTACATACACATGACTGGTCTTGGTATGATTATGTTAAAAGCTGTTGTTTTTTTCTCCGTAGCCTTACCAACCTTATTATTGACCAGATACTAATTAACCTTGCTCTGTGGAGCCTCGTTAAGAGCATAAGTGCCTCACAAAAGCCACCCAGCACTCCGCAGAACCAGCGATTGTCCTGCCTTACCAATTTAATTAACTGGAAACATCAGGCAAAATGTCAGAAGAAGATTTTCTATGCTGCTAATCTCCTTAAAATAATGAATGTAATGTTTATTCCGCACTAAAAAAGAAAAGGATGCCAGTGTTTTCCTACGTATGTTGCTGCCTCTGTGTCTGTGAGTGAATGGGCTGTGTGCACAAGCACTAGCCCGCATGCAAGCCTTTGTTGCACAATTATAGAGCGGAGTGGAATTTTCCAACGGAGGCTAAGCAAAGTCTCAAAAAAGAGGAAATTACATGATTGCACTGGTGTGTCCATGAAAATCATACTCATTACCACGTTTGACCCCTAACATTGCGCCTCTAAAGCCAGATCTCATCTGTGTGCCCGTGTTCCTTATCTGCAGTATTGATTATTCAATTAATTCTCTTGCTGGTCAGAAAGTGTGTAGAAATTGCAGCCTATAGATTTTACACGAGCCCTGGGATATCCTTGGAAATATGATTGAATATGAATCACTTCAAGTCTCTGAAGCAGATGAGGTTTCTGAGAAGCCTGATTACTGATGTACCTTCCGGCAGACAATTAGCTCTTGAAAATGTGCCATGACCCCTGCTTTTTTCCAGATACTTTCTACACCTCTCTTTGAAAACAAATCTTGCTTCCCTCCCACTGACTCCTTACTTGACCTGTCTAGTTATGTTCTTTGTCTTTTAAGCACCCCTGGTCTTTGTGCGAAACCTGAAATGTCAGGGTTTTACAAACTTTAAGTAAAAGCGCTATAAACCACTAAGACTGTTCGGACAGAGGTCTCCAAACATGTCCCTTTTATGTCACAACAGCTGTTCAATGTTTTTATTTTTGCAAAGAAGTACAAACTTAGGTCAGCCCATTCATTATTTATCAGCTGAATAATGATGTGCAATTTTATAAAACAGAGAAAACAGACGTTACATCCCTCTCTGTTCTAGCAAACCATCGTGAAACATCTGTTTTCCAGACTACTACTCCATTCTGTCATGAAAACCACACTGCTGCCTTCACTATAAAGATGAGTCTCTAGAGTCGAGTCAGTTAACTGAATTCTTAGTAGGTAATTTGATTTGTCAGGATAACTGCCTGATAAGAAAGCCTGCCTATAAAATTACTCATTCATCCTTCTTGAGCTGTGTTACACACTGAATGACAATTCCTTAACAGTATGGCTGGATGAAGAACATCCAAACCCAAGAAAGAACCTCGTCCATTTCTTGAAGGACCTTCGAAAGTCAGACTTTTTCTTAATTTTTAATCTACAGTTTTTGTAATGTGCTGTACTGTTGCTTGAAGGGTTTGTGTGACCTAGACCCCTTGCTTTCTGTTGGAGTTGTTGGTTTTGTACTCCTTCAGAAGATGAAAACTCCTCTCGGCTCTAATGCAACCTGTCGCAAAGGAAGAAAGTATCCCTCTTTGGTGAACCACTGCCACGAGTGTTGAAACCATTATATAACGAACACAAAACGATCCCTGTTTTACCAGCCGAGTACCAGTTACAGTACGTCGAATAGCGTTTGTGATATTAAAGATGTGACCCTTCTTTTGAAAATAATACATACAGCCACAAATGTTAATGAAACTGTAGTTAATTAGAATATAGGTTCTCAAGACTGCCTTCAGGGAATGAACTGAGCTCATTGTGTTTGATCTCATCCTGATTCTTAATTCCAATGTATTCATCTTCTTTGTTGGAAATCATAGAGCCAGAATCGATTAAACCAAAGCTATTTTAAAACTTTTTAACTAATTAAACTCTCTTTATTTGTCACAATCCAGTTCTGCGCATCGGCAGGAATTAAGGTTTGAGGAAGCCTTTGTATTTCTGTTGCAATACTTCAGCTAAACCATGCAAAACATGTTTTCCAAAATTACGTTCATTATATACTTTTATCACTTGCGATGTGTTACAATACGGAAACAAACAAAAAAAAACACCTTTAAATAGCCAAGACTCCGCGTGTTGTTCAAAAGAACGATTTCAGATTACAGCTTTTCCCCTGAGGTTTGAGGAGAGTCCTTCTCACAGCACAGCTGTGGAGGAGCGTATGAGGCGCGGTGTGTCAGTAGAACAGGTCGTCAGCGTCCGGTACTCACTGCCTTTTGGTTTTCTTTGCAGGAATGCCTCTTGCTTCACCGACTCCCCGAGTGCCAAACCTTCACGATCACAAAGCTCCCACTTCTGCTGCAGCAAGCATCGCCCCTGCTCTCGATTCTGTTGGTCTGTTTTGCCCCGCTAAGAACGACAAAGCGCGCAGCCCCATCACGGACCCCCCTCCCCGACACACTGGCCGCCCTGTGTCACTTCTTCCCCTCACCTTTTTTTTTTTGTATCTGTACATACTTGTGTTTCAAATCTTATAGTTTTGTACATGTAATTTTTTATGGTGTTTAATCTTTTTGATAATAAAAAGTGTGTTAATTCACAATGCCTTCGCTTCACAGAAAAAAAAAGGTGTTTATCCATCCCTGGCGTCTTGTCGAAGCTCTTGAACAGTTGCAACTTGGGAATCGGAGCAACAATCAGGGTGTCGAAGGGGCCTCCAAGGGACTGAAGTGAGCAGGGACCCTGCAGTGGATAGGGCCCTGCAGTCCATAGATTGCTGGCTAGCTGACAGCGAATCCTAAAAAAAACCTTAACCCTAAGTCTTAAAAAATAAATACAAATAAGACAGAAGGGACTTCACTCTTACCTCCATCTCTCAGCACCTGTGTCAGGGTCGGCAGTACAGGCTGGATGGTCACTGTGGCTGCTGGACACAGGCTTGCTCAGGGCAATGAAAGAGACCTTCGCAAACCCCCAGGAGTAAGAAATTAGGCATCATTTACCAATGTCATTCAGTACAATGAGAGTCAGTCCTGTGGCAGGACCCTGCTGCTCCACAGCACATGTAATAAACCTTAATTTTGCTTTTCACACTATCCTTTTCATTCCTGATTGAATTTTTTTTGTCAAACGGTGCAGAGAAGACTTAAAGAACTCTCTGTAAGAGATCTCTCTTTTTGGCACAACTCCAAACAACGGTTATCTTTTTTTTTTCGTTCCTTCTTCTGGAAGAGCCTATACCAGTATTTTACAGGCTGAATTAATTGGGACTCATTCTAAAGATGTGCACATATTCCACACACACAATAATTCATCACCGGCACATATATTACATTACATATTACATAAGTATCACCTGAAGAAAATACTAAGATAGTTAATCAAATGCACCACCCCGACAACAATGGAAGCTTTACCCACAAAACTCGGTTATCTTGGAGAATGCTAATGATGAGTGATAAAAACATATGAGTGGTTACAAACGAGATGAGGCCATTTTATCCATCTAGTCTGTAGTTAGTAGCTAATGGATCTGAGGTTCTCACCCGGCTCTCTTTTTGAAAGAAGCCAGAGTATGTTTCATGCACATGCCTAAGGTAGCTTGTTCAGACTTCAAGTCAAGCCCACTGACTTTATTTTGTCTAAACCAAAGAAGGTCTGGTCTGCAGAATGTTCCTCAGAGTATAGAGACAGCAGGTGTCTGTCTGGGTGACCGCAGCACCTCATGTAAAGAATGGAGGAAATGAATGGTGTATGGTGGAAAAAAAAATAATACCAGCCAATTACAAGTGGCTGGGAAGCTAAATAAACACAACTGTTTTATAGCAAGTGTGCTGAAAAGGAAACAAAAATTAAGAGGTGTAAGAAAGCACCAGTTATGGGAGAGAAAGCAATCCGTCCGACTGTGATAAAACAAGTCCCAGTTTGACACAGGGGTGACTCAGGGCTGCACAAAAGCCAGGAGAGCTCTGCTGGTGCTTGAATAGGGGCTGGCACAGCAGTTTATTCCGTGTACTGTACGTTTTTTCCAGCTGCAGACTGTATGAAAGCAGCGAGCAGTGATCAATATGATAAATAGAGTATGTTTATCTGTGCATTTCTATCTGTGCTGAGGGTAAGATTGGCCTCTCTGCTCATACTTACAGGAGCCTGGCTGGGCAGGACAAAGGTCAAAGCAAAGACTAAGCTAGAACTAAAGCTTGACAATAAAAAAGACATGAGTTTAAACACAGAAAGGCATTAAAGAACTGATGGTAAATTTGAACGCTGCTCTGCTGTTTGCAGTCACCAAACAAGAGGGAGAAATTAAACATTGCATTTGCATTTTGCATGAAAAAAATGCAAAGGACAAATCCCAAATACTAGATAATCTTCTGTGAAAAGCCCTTACCTTATGTACTGTAGCTGAGCAATTAAAGGCAACTGAAAACAATGAGGTCCTATTTGCTGTGTAATGTTAATACTTAAAATTAAAAAAAAAATAGTTTGATTCAAAACCACATCCATATAAAGAGGAGGATTTCACACGTTGGGGAAGACAGCATATTATTTCGAGATTAAAAAAAAATAAAAACCATACACTGGGATACTTTGGTAAAAGGAGGCTTTTATCAAATATTCTCATTGCTCTTGTACTCAAGCCATCTTAAATATCTACATACGTCTTCTTACAGGAGAGCTAACAGGGAGGCCCTGAAGCCAGAATAAGGCAAACAGGATTAAAAGGACACCAGATTGCCTTCCTCTTTCATGTCAGTGTTGTTTGCTTCGTGGGGACGCTTCTACGCTGTCCTCTTTGAAAAGCCCAGCCCGTGTAAGAGCGGCGGCTCACCCCAGGAATCTGGTGTGCAGATGAAGAGCTCAAGGAGAGAGTGGTTATGTCTCTGTCCGCGGAGCCCAGCCGGGCGCCAGCGGGCCGGCTGGAAGAGAAAGGGCCGAGGCAGCTGCTCCGCTGGGCCTCCGACGAGAGGGCAGGCCAGTCGCGGCTCCAGCGGGGCCAGGGCGGCAGGACGCAGTCCTTTCAAGGGCTCAGACATTGAATTTATTAGGTCGAAAAAGACATCAATTTCTCCATATATAAAGCTTTAAACCTCTATAAGGCTGATTTTTAATCAACACATTTCTTACCTTTATTTTTAATACCTGTTCTTGCACATTTTAGACATTCTTTCCATGGGTCTAAGGTATTCAACAGACTCCACCTGTCCTCTGAGTCTCGTGCCGTCAATCTCGGAATCCACCAGGTTGAAAACTTGGGGACTGGGGCAGCGACCTGGGACTTTGGACGAAAGCCTGTCGGTATGCTCTCTGTGTAGCGTCTGCACAATTGTAAATGCATGTTCCTGTATGTTTGCAGCTCTGTGTTCAGATGAATGGCCCATAATGAGTGTGGCTCTGTTGAGCCTGGTACCGGGTTCTGCATGCTTGGTTCTTGTGCAGATGCAAACAACAGGAGGCAGGCCCACTCACCAGCACTCCTGCCTCCTGCCTGTTCTGTCTCAGCTCTGCAGAGAACCTGTTTCTGACACAGCAGAGATGTGTACAGCGTCTGTGTGCCCCCCCAGCGACTCTGGGAAATGAGTTTCTTTTTTTAAACTGCTGTGCTCCCCAGTGCTTGGAATCCAGGCGCGGAACACAATTTCCCCCCTGCTTGGTAAAAGACGACCTTCCAACAGATTTGCTCTGCAGGTTAAGTTGCATGGAGACATCTGGGAAAAATCTCCTGTGTTGTTCCGAGAGCACCGGGCCCGACAGGCGCTATCAGAGAGAAAGGTCACACGATGCAGTTTTTCGGTTGGCGGTGCGAGAATTTCTGTACAATCTAAAAAACCCTGCCAAAGCTAAACCTCAAATGGTAGTCATTTGAGATAGCAAAAACAAGCTCTTCAAAATCTATGTCTGATTGACGCAGAATAAACAAGTGTAACATCAGTGAGCTGAGCTTGATGATGTGATCGAACAGTACAGTATATAGACAAAGTATATCTGCTTACTGTATGTAGCAGAGTTCAAACCGAGAAAAGTAATGCAAACTGTATATAAAGCACTATTAGGAACACATTCAGTTTTGGTCGCAGCTTTGCAAAAAGGATACTGCTGATCTATGAAGAGATTGAAGGAGACTGCATACACTAATTCCTGATCTCAAAGGAGTATTATGCAAGGGAATTTTAAAAGAACGTAACCTCTTTAGTCTTAAACACTGGAGGTTATGGAAGGGATTTGATTCAAAGGTTCTGAAGATATATCAGCAGGGTACCCCAAGCTCAACAAATAGGACACAAGATCACAACTGCGCTTTAACATCAGATGGGTTTAGGACTGATGGAAGGAGGAGGTTATTTAGAAAAACAGTCATGGAGGTACAGGACACAGGTGGAGGAACCGCCAGCTCAGCCGAGCTGCTGAAGCTTTGAGCCAGGAATCCGCCAAGAAACGGCTGGGTGACACTTGGGAATCAATTACAGCACACACTGTATCAGGAGCCACACCAACAAATCAGGACGCATCTCAGCTTCTCCCCTTTAACCCTTCTTCTGTTCTTACGTTTTTAAACCAATTATTGATAATCAATTCAATTATCAATAACTGAGAACTGATCAATTACTCATGATAAAAAAATATGCAATGAAATAGGACAGGCATCTGGCTTCTCAATGTTCCTCATCCTGAACAACATTCCTGCTCACAGTGAAAAGAATAGATAAGATCATTTAATTATTACGAATAGCCCTGCAATGGGTGGGCCCTGCCTGAATATCGTCTGAAATACAATGCACACTCTCCGATATGGGGGCCATTTAGGAACAAGGGCTTCTTGCAAATCAGACTGCACTGCGCCACACGCCGCAGACCTGTGATCAAAAAGGTGAAATCTCAGCTTGCGGTTTATGGGCAACTCGAAGTGTCCTGCACTTCAGCATGAGAAAACGTCAGAAAGAAAATCTATAATAAAAAAAAACTACGCAAAACATTTCATCCAGAGCGACTCTGCTACACAGCCGCACAATTTCAAATGGAATTAACAAGCTGCCGATACATCAAGAGTGACACTCTATCAATTACACGTTACACCCTATTAAATCCTCGTACTGCTGTACCCTATGAGCTACATTTGGTGTTTTGGAGCTCTCTTACAGATGTCCTTTTAATGGATCCATTTGGATATTCAGGCATTCGCCGTGAAGAAAAATCAAACGCATGATCCCTCCAGAAAAAGTGTCAGACCCTAGCCCTCAAAAAGCTAAGCCCCATGCTAGAAAGTGACACGTTTTTGTGACATGAATTTACATGTTTCCATGAATGATTTTTTTCAGCAACATTCGGATATTTGTCAGCCTCCCAGCCCTAGTCTTCCCTCCCCGTAGCGGCAAAATACAGAAACAAGCTAGAGAGATTACAGTATTACAGTTCACACTGGCCAAAATATTAGGACCCCCCACCACAGGAAGTCATGTTAAGCCTCCATAAACCACAAGAGCGGCTGGAAACATCCGGTTGCCATGGTTCCTCCTGCAGGACGTCAGTGGAGGTGGAGATAGGGGGTGATGGTGTGTGGGCTTGAACTGCACCTTCTACTCATCCACCTTTTTCATGCTCCTCAAAACAAACACACACGCACAACATCCTG